GAATGCACACTTCTCAGGATTTAATTTCATATTAAATTTTTGCAAAATCTGAAATGCATCAGATGAGTGTGATATATGATCCCCTGAATGTTGAGTTGTGACAAGCATGTCGTCTATATATACTTCCATAGTTTTCCCCAAATGTTCTTGAAACATTTTAGTCACTAGTCTTTGATACGTTGCACCAGCATTTTTGAGACCAAAAGGCATTACTTTATAACAGTAAGTCCCCCTGTCAGTTATGAAGGAAGTTTGTTCTTCATCTATCAGATCCATTTTGATCTGATTGTATCCTGAATACACATCTAAAAAACTTAATAATTCATGTCCTACAATAACATCAATTAGTTGATCTATATGTGGTTGTGGAAAAGAATCTTTAGGACAGACTTTGTTAAGGTCTGTGTAATCTACACAAACTCGCCACTTACCATTCTTCTTCGGTACCACAACAGTATTGGCTAACCAATTAGGATACTTTACCTCACGAATAGACCCAATCTTTAGTAATTTTTGAACCTCATCTTGAATCACCTGATTTTTGAAAGTTCCTTGCTTTCTCTTCTTTTGCTTGACAGGAGGATACGATGGGTCTTCAATTAATTTGTGAGTCATTACCTCCGGTGGTATTCCTGTCATATCAGAGTGGGACCAAGCAAAGCAATCCACGTTAGTTTTCAAAAATTCAATCAACTTACCTTTCATGTCCTGGCTTAGATTGGCCCCTACATAGACTTTCCTATCAGGCCATTGTGCAAATAACACCACAACCTCTAGTTATTCAATTGTTGTCTTGATATTTTCATTTTCCTCTGGTTCTTGAATGGTATTTGGCCTTGAGTCCACATCTGTTCGCCTTTGTTCAGTTGAGGTTTGTGTTGTGGTACCCTCAACTGGATTCTGTGATTGCTATTTTTCTTCATTTCTCGTACTTGAATTCGCTACAAAGTTGATTTTCCTGGATGTAAGTTGGTCCCCATGGATTTGACATATTCCCCAATGGTGATGGAAATTTATTAACTTGATGCAAAGTTTGACGGAACGACATCCATCTCGTGGATCCATGGTCTCCCAAGGATCATATTGTAAGCCATCTCCATATCTACTACCTGAATCATTGTATCTTTGACAACTCCTTCTACGAATGCAGTAAGTATTACCTCTCCTTTCGTCACGACACTGGAATTGTTGAATCCAGATAGAGTATGCGCCTTTGGTATTAATTTATCTTCAGCTTGCATCTCGCATAATACTCTTAATATAATAATGTTCACGGAACTACCTAGATTAATCAAAACTCGTTTTACATTAGTATCATGTACAAGTAGAGATATTACCAGTGCATCGTTATGAGGAGATAATACGTCATCCACATCTACATCATCAAACGTAATGCTTTCTTCCTCTAAAACATGTCGCACCCGTTTCCCTTGGGTAATTATGACTTTGGAAATTTTATTGGTTGCTGTGTACGTCACACTATTGATGTCTTCACCTCCACTTATAACGTTGATGGTCCTTTTGGGAGAAGGTGGTTTAGGGGGATCCTGCCTATTCTTCATGTATGCTTGCTTACCTTTCTCACTAAATAACTCGGTGAGATAACCCTATTTTAACAAATGATCAACTTCACTTTGTAAAAACCTACAGTCTGCCGTTTTATGCCCGTGATGGTTGTGAAATTCACACCAATGATCATGATTGCGCTTGTTTGGATTTGATCTCATCTCTTTTGGCCATCGTACCTTGTCACCCATGCTTCTCAAAACAACTATGAGTTTGGAAGTGCTCACATTGAAATTATAACCGCCAAACCTCGCCTTCAAGTTTCTATCATCATCTCGTGACTCACGCGTGTTTCGATCATTCCCAAATCTTGATGACGAGCCCGACTCTCTATTCCTCGACCTGTGATCGTACCTTTGATTGTCCTGTTTTGATCGTGAGGCTTTTCCCGCTGGTCCCATGTATGGTTCGTACCTGTTTTTACCGGACCCTTTTTCAATTTTCGCCCATCTCGAACTTACCTTTTCTTCTTTTTGAGATCGTGAGATAATATCTTCCTCTATCCTCAGCTTCGTGCTATACTTATTGTAAACATCATTCCATGTTGTAGCTGGGAATTCACGAAGACTTTCCTTGAGTCGCCTCGTAGCTTCTGAGCTTTTTTCATTCAAATTACTTGTGAAGGCTATAGCTACCCAATTGTCAGGTACACGCGGTAATGTTATTCTATCGTGTTGGAATCTGTCCACAAACTCTCTAAGGAATTCTGAGTCCCCTTGCTTGATTTTGAAAATATCTTCCATTCTTTTTTCGACTTTTTGAACTCCCGAGTGTGTTTCGATGAAAGAATCTGCAAGCTCAGCAAAAGAATTTATAGAATTTTCGGGTAAAAGAGAATACCATGTTAATGCACCCTTAGTGAATGTTTCACCGAATTTCTTGACCAATACTGATTCGATCTCCTATTTGGTCAAGTCGTTGCCTTTTATGTTTGTTGTGAATGCAGTAATGTGGTTTCGTGGATTAGTTGTTCTATCATATTTTGGAATATCGGGCATTTTGAATTTCTTTGGAATTGGGAGGGGAGCAACACTTGGCTTCCAGGGTTGTTACGAATATCTATCCCTTTGATTACGGGCGACACCCCCGATATTTTCTCTATGCGATCACTTTGCTCCTTGAGCTGTTTCTGCAATGTTAGTACTAAATTTTGTAAATCGGAATTGACTAAGTTACCTGGTACTCCCTCTTGTGATTCGCTGGGGGTTCCACCACTACCTGAATTAACAAGCCCAGAGCGAGGGTTCTCCAAAGTGTTGTTATTTGGAGTGGGTGTGGGTGGTGCAGCTGGTAACTAGCTAGCAAAAGCCTCAAGAGCTTTATTGACCTGTTCAGCAATTAGTTTTTGCAAAACTTCATCAATAGTTTCAATATTTTCAAATTGAGCATTTCTATTTTGCATGAGATCCATCAGGAGTGCCTTCTCAAGACCGCCGATGAGAGCTTTGTAGAGAAGGGGCCGGGGTGTGATTATCTTGTAGATTTCCCTGAAGTTGTTGGTTTCCTTGAATGTTGTCATTATTGTTCGACATGGTTGATGCAACAAGGAAAGTTAAACTAAAAAAGAATAAATTATTAGATTCCCGGTAACGGAACCAATTTGTTTAACCAAAAAATGAAATTTCGGTCAAAGCTTTAATTTAGAAGAACTCGGGTTACTGATAATCAAAAAATGTATAAGAGAAAGTAATTTGGCTAGCAATAAGATAATTAGAAGAAGATAAAGTAAACCAATGTACTTAGATAGTCTTTCGTGTCTTTACAATTGACCCATTCTTTTCCTTTTATAGCTATCTTGGAAATATGCGTTTTGCCTTTGTCATAATAAGGTCATTATAGACAATTAAAGACATTAAATGCTACGTTACATAATCATTGTATTTTAATACAAATTCTCTAACGTTTTTAGTATTTAATGCTTATTAAATACTGTATCTGTACTCTCTTGTACTGTCAGATTCATTCTCCTTGATTCTTGGACTTAAATAGGTACGGACGTTGAATCTTTTGAGTATCTGCTCGTGCCTCCTCTTATGCCTCTACTTCTATCTGTTACAACTCGTGCCTCTTTGCAAATCATAACTCTTTGACTAGTCTACGTGTCATGACTCGTCATTTTCCAATCACTTTAATATGTAAACTCAATTTTTTCTAATACAGTCATAGACTCATAGGATTATATTTCCAAGATTAGAATAAAAAAACTAGACCAAAATAGATGCTATCACAAGCTTTCAACTGATATTCTTCTTAAGTAAAAATAAACTTATACTTAGTGACTTATAAGCTGATTCTTTGAAGCATAATAAGAAGTTGAATAAGTCACAATATGTGTTTCATTACTACATCACAACAAGAAATTAAACAAGAAATGAGATGATGTGAAGAAGCTTTCAAATAAGTGAATTGCACCAGTAATATTCCTCATATTCATTCTCAACTAAAATGATGAAATATTATAAAAGAAACTTACACCAACGGTCTTAGACTTGGTATTCACAAAGTTCCCATCCTTTCTTTTATGCAGCTTCTTAAATATATCCCATGAATTTGCTGGACGGCGTAATTCTATTGCCTGAATAATAGAGTAAAATATTAAAATAGGAGATAAGGTCATATAATTACTCTATTAAAAGGTTAAATTCAATACCAATTTTATAGTATTCTCCACTGTAGACCTAGAACCACCGGTATGCTTGCTTGGACCAGTGCCTGGACCACCAGTCTCGCTACACCGATTTTGAGGGGCGACACGAGATCTTTCAAGCCACTTTTCCAAGGGCCAGTGTGCCTGCCAGCTTTCCCATATATGCTCTTTAACAAAAGTAGGTCTGGTTCTAAATTTTCGCCAAACGTACAACTTTTTAGTGTACAAGGTAGATGCCACTTTTTTCCAAGTATGTTTGATTATGGCATCCTCAGCAGAACTCCAGTAATATAATTTCTAACAAAAGATATTTGATCAATGATATAAATATATATATATATGTACATACTAAATAATAACATATAATTGTTTTTATAAAAAGCGATATTTACCATAAATTCACGCTAATAGAAGTCACGAGTGGATTGGCAAACATCTGTTTACCTTGAAAATAGTAACTATAATTATACTTGATTTTGTGGTTCTAAAAATACGTGATTTATTTCAATACTAATTGTTATGCAATAGATGCTAAGTGTAAGTAAAGAAAATAAGAAATGCACACCAATAAGGTCACAAGGCTGGGCCTCGAGCTGGCTGGAGCAGGGCCTCGAGGTCCAAATAGGGCTTATAGAAATGAACAACTGATGAAGGATCAATGATAATGAGGGCCTCAAAGATGTCCTTTTGCGGTTAATAATGAGCAATGAATGAATCAACAATAAATGTGTAGAATAATTGTTTAAGCGAAGAGCAGAGAATGTTGTATTATATTCAATGTGTATATAATAATCCGAATCCTCTTACAAGATGACAAGGGTCCCCTTAATATAGGAGGGGGAAATGCCAACATAGTACATGTCTAATAAATGACGAAGAAATGCTATTGGTATAGCTGTATAATGAGTTAGTACGGATTTGTACTATTCTTGCAGACCTGGTCAGCTCTAACTACTTGTCTTTGGGAGCTTTCTTGCCTTTCCATGACGATCATCGATTGTACTGCTCTGAGGTCGACCATAGTGAGCCTTCGATATGCTCCCTTGAGGGACACACATCAGGGTCGCACCTCACGCTCTGCTTCGGGCTTCTTCGAGGTTAGGGGTGGAGCGACATAGTAGCCCTAAAGTCGAACTTCCCTATTTTCACCGTATACAGATAGTCCCCACATTTTTTAGAATGAAAAGATATGAAACAATCTTGACCTCGACTTTCTCGAACCTCTCATGATGATGTCATGCTCGTGACGTAAGCATTCGTAGTGACTGAAACATCCCATCAGTTTGTCTCCCTAGAAACGCTGATTATACCGCTGGTTCATTTTCCCAAAAGCGGTGATTACGATGCCAATCCGTTTCCCCAAAAGCATTGATTGCGCCGTCAATTACGTTACTGTCTCTTTATAAATAGGGGATTGCTTGAACCAAGACCTCACTCAGTCTTTCTTCAACAGCCTTTAGCCCTTTCCCTTTTCTACATCCTCCTCCAAACTCCTACTTCTATGGTTCAAGCCCGTGATCGTAAGGTCGTATGGCAGTGGCCTTGTCGGTTATGCCATGGCTCTTTTTCAGAGCTTTTCCCCACTGAGTGGGATTATAATGGGTGGTTGTTATTGTTGTTGCTGTTGTTGTTGTTGTCGGCCCGAAATAATGAGAGAGAGACCTCAAATTCTTTCCGCATAAGAAGATATGTGGACTGTAAATCGATGCTCATCTCTTTTAACTTCAATCTGGTGTGGTGCTTCACTCCTTTTGTTTCCATGGAGTGAGGTGGTTCTACCCACCGACTTTTTCATCCCACACCGGTGCAATATCTCAAAAAGTGGCTTCACAATAGTAGTGCTGACGAGGCTCTTACTTGCCAAGTTTTTCACCAGGCCACAATTTTCCTTGTTTATCAAAAGCTTTTGCTCTTTGATAGGCTATAGCCTTTTCCTTATCTATTGCTTTTTCGGAGGAGGTTTTCGAAGACAACGCTTTGAAGATCAAAATAGGGTCCCTGAGGAAACGGTTCTCGAAAATGTCTCCCGATGATATACCCTCGAAAGTAGATTAGGCTTTTTTCTTCTTTATTTCTGTGTAAGGACCCCTCATGGGCCTTTGTAATTGTCTTTTATCAATATAAAAAATTCTTTATTTTGCATTCAACTTGTGTTTAACTCCATTTTGCCTTCGCTTGTGAGAAATCCAAGTGCATGACTTTATCGATCGGTCCGAATACTAGACCCAGTCATAATAAACCCTTAGTTTTTTAATCGGTTGATATGACATTCCTTGGAGCTCTCTACTATCCCTTAGACTAAGCCTGGATTGATTTGATGCGAACTTAGGTCGCCGAGACTTCTGGGTCCGAATTGACTAAGAGCAAGTTCTCGATTTTTGAAATAAAGCCTAGCCTTTTTAGGCCTCGCTGATAGTCCTCAAGTGGTAAATTTCTTGTACTAAAACAGCTTTTAGATTTCGCCACCGAGTGGGTGATAACTAGGGATTCTAGTTCATTTTACACTCATTTTTACTTGAGTTTTGGATTAAAAATATATACAAATAGTCTCAAAGGCTTACATGTTGTACTTGTTTGCAGGGTTTGTTAAAAAAAGTGACAAGTAGTCAAAACCAGCTCAAAAAGGAGTGAAACATGCACAAGTATCAAGAACAAGTCAAAGCACTGCTACAACATAAAATCCACTGCAGCCACAACAGACCCACCGCAGCCGCAGACCATTTAGTGCGATCTGCAGTAGATGAGTTCAGAGAGGTGCACTTTTGGAGCTTAAAGAAGTGCGGTCCGCAGAGGATTTCTCGCGGCCGCAATAGACTCTTCGTTGCCGCAATCCATTTTATGCGGTCCACGGAGAGGGGATTTAGAGGGTTGGGAGTTTGGACGATTGAAACCAGCGCGGTCCGCGGAGCATTTCGTGCGGACCGCAGTGAAGCCACAGCGGCCACGAAGCATTTTATGCTGCCCGCAGTGGCCAGATTCAGAGAGTGAAAAGTCAAGCCAAAAAGCCTCATCGAGGCCGCGGTAACTCTATCAGGGATATTTTTGTCCAGAAAATTTGGCTTTGTATAAATACTTTCTTTTCACATTTTTAGGGCATCTGTTAGAGTCCAGAGCACATGAACGACAGTTTTGTTCCATGTTGAGTAATTTGTAGCTAGTTTAACACTGAGTCTTCATTATCTTAGTTTGTAATCACATTATATGGGTTATTCTTCATCTATTTATCTGATTTCTTCCATTATTATGAGTAGCTAAACCCTTTAGCTAGGGTTATGGCTCAACTCTAGTGTGGGTATTTGATGGGCCTTTTGTTTTAAGGCTTAGATGTTTATGGGTGGTTGATATTTGGACTAATTTGTGTTTTTCATGTTGAATTATTGGTTGCAAACACTAATTTGTGCCTATTTGACTTGGGCTCTTCTTGAGAAAGAGAGCTTGAGTCTAGGAAAATCAGTCCAACAAGGAGTTAGGGTGTATTCAAGAGATTGATAACCTTAATTAAAGGGTTAAACCTAGAGATAGTAATACCCGACTTGAGCCTATATTGCTTGCATAATTTTGACACCCAATTGGTATTGAGAAAGTCAATTAGGGCAAAGTCACTCAAGCTACAGATAGGTATAGAGTGAGTAATTCCGTGCATTAGCTATATCGCAATCTCCAACATAACATCTTTGCCTTAGGCTTTAGATCCCGTCAAGTATTCACCTAAGAGAAAGTCACTTCCCTAGTGTCTCGTTAGCCATGTAGAAAACCTTACAAGCATTTACTCTTAGTTTAATTTAGCATCTTATTAGCATAAAATTAGAAGTAACAAACAACAATTATGATTGGAAGTATAATTAAGAGCACTACGCACTGCTAGTTTAGATAAAAATCCAATTCCCAATTCTAGCTCCCTATGGATTCGATCCCGACCATCTAGGGTAAAAGCTGCATCGACCGCTCTTGCCACTTTGTACTGGTGTAGAGTTGGACTCGATCACTTTTTGGCACAGTTGCCGGGGAGCTAACGGTTTTGGATATCTATCTAAATAGTTTTGTGTATTGTTTTTCTTTCCTTCTGCATTGCTAATTTGTGAGTGTCACTAATTCAGGTACAAAATGGCATCAAACAACGCACCTCTTGGAGATCTTCCACCGGGGAAGAAGGTGGATGACAATATTGATGATGAGGTTCTTATAGTACCTCAAAGACAAAGGATAGGCCTCCAGGCCAATGATAATGTTCTAGACCCTCCCCCGCCACCTCCAAGAGTGGCTCCTTGGGTGCTTCCAAACGAAGGATATGCTAGTGCAATTGTCCCACCCCGGATCTGGGCGGGCAATTTTTAAATTACAAATGTGATGCTGACTTTGTTGGAGTAGCAAGAGTATTTCATAGGTGCTTCCCATCAGAATGCATATAAACATCTCAAGGGTTTTGTGGATACGTGTTGGGGAAGCACGCAAACAAATGTGTCAGAGGATGCATTGCGGTTGAGATTTTTCCCTTTTTCATTTAGAGGGAAGGCACTGGACTAGCTTGAGAGGCTTCCCAACCATTCTATCACTACATAGGATGAGTTGGCCGATAAGTTCATAGCCAAGTTTTTCTCACCGGGACATATGGAGGCGTTGCAGGATGAAATCTTAGCATTCAAATAGGAACCAAATGAGCCCCTTCACGAAATCTGGGATCGATATAGAATTATGGTCAAGGAATGCCCCAACAATGATATAACTGATGCAATGATTCAACAAACATTTTATCGGGGTATAAACACGATCAATCAGTGTGTGGTGAACCAGCTAGCAGGGGGTAATTTCATAAAGATGCCTTATGCTTAGGCTTGTGACATTCTTGATGAGATGGCTGACACGTCCTCCGCTTGGCAAAGTAGAGCCAATGTGCTACAGGGTGATCCCACAGTCATTCATTTGCACAAAGAGCTCCATGATCATGGGTAGGCAATAGCAGAGCTAACAACAACAATGAACTAGCTAGCTAAGGCTCAGTTACAACAGGTTCAAAATCCACGCCAAGTAAATGCTATGGAGGGTGTCAACATGTTAGTGAATAAAAGAAGACAAAGAGGTCAACAGAACCAAGGGAGTTCAGATCAATATGACAATGATAGTGGTGGTTTCCAAGATAATGGTTATGATGAGCAGAATGAAGAGGCTTTATAAATAGTCCCGAGTGAGAACTGGATCAAACTTGGGTAGCCTTTGGGCTTAATAGTGGTGTGAGATTTTGCTCGAACTTGAAGCAAAGATAGCCCTGAGGCTTTATGAATAGTTCCCGAGCAAGAACCTGCTCGAACTTGGGCAGCCCATGAACTAAATAATCGAGTGAGTGTTCGCTCGAACTTGAGAGAAAAAGTACCCTAAGGCTTTATAAATAGTACCCGACTGAGAAATGTCTCGAACTCGGGTAGCCTTTGGGCTTAATAGTCTAGTGAGCTTTTGCTCGAACTCGAAGCAAAGATAGCCCTGAGGCTTTATGAATAGTCCCCGAGTGAGAACTGGCTCGAACTTGGGTAGCCCGTGGGCTAAATAAACGAGCGAATGACTACTTAAGCCCAACTCATAGATTTTTCTCAATAATTTCTAACAATCCAATTCCTGATGCTTTGGCTCTGACGCGAACATCATGACGTAAGCGGTTGAAGTGACTAAAGGGTTACTCTGGTATGATTCTCAAATTCATTAATTGTAGGCGGCCAACGGTCGACCTTTTGGCTTCCTTAGCACATTCATACGATCTTTATAAATAGACAGAACCCCACAACTTTTCCGATATTACTCCCTTAGTGCTTTCAAGATTTCATTTAGCCCCTTTCAATTTCCTTGAACTCTCCCTTTTCTTTTCTAATGACATTTTCCATTTTCTCAGATCCTTTACTTTAGAAATGGCAAAAACCTCTAAAACTGTTTCTTAAAAGGAAAAAAGCTTCATCTTCTTCTCGAACGATTAAGGGCAAATCGGTAGTTCCTCCTAGTATTGAGGAGTGTACTCCTGGGCCCTGTGATCATCTTCTGATTTCTAGGTTGAAAACCCCTCCTCTATTCCGAGATGATGCAAACCCATGTCTCGATATATCAGTTTAATAACTGAAATCGAGAAGGTGAAGGCCGATTGCCATTGGGGGAAGGCGGTCCAAGTAGAGATTCCTTCACGAGGAGAAGACATAACCAAGCACAAGGCCAGTTTCCTCAGTGTATACATATATCCTTTCACCTTAGGCCTGGTAGAAGCCTCTTTGCCATCGATATATCTAGTGATCCTCGATTTCTGCAGCCAATATCAGGTGACACTTGGACAAATCTATCCCTCATTCTGGCACATCGTTTATATGATTAGGTATTTCTCAAACATGGTTGAGGGGATGAATTTTAACCTCGACCATCTAATTAGAATGTATAGCCTATGACTTTACCGAGGTGGCCTGATTAAGCTAAAACGTCGATCCCCGAAGGCCTTTTTTGCTAGCATCGATGAAGACAAGGACCGAAGGTGGATGAGCCGCTTTGTTCGAGTCAGGACCTCGGAACTGATCCCTGCTAAGAGAATTCCATTCCCTGAGAAATGGAATATAAATCGTAAGTAAACATGTTCTACTGATCGGATACCTTTTCTTGACTTTGAATTAACTTTCTTCGATGATACAGCTGTCGAGTGGTACCCCGACGCTGTCAACGATCTCCCGAGCTGGGTTCAATGACTTGATTCGATCTACCCATATGCTAAGCGCGTGTAGCGCGACCTGGCTAAGACCCGTTGGGAGGCCAAAAATCATGGTGAGTTTTTATCTCTATTCATACTTGAGCTCTTTAGAGAAGATATCTCTCACTAGTATTCTCACCCTTTGTGCCTATACAGGCCTTGGAAAGGCCGTTTTGATGAGGGAACCCCTGCCTAGGGAAGCAGATACCCCGAAGCCTGCTAAGGAGAAAAAGAGAAAGAAGAAATCACAGGTCAGATCCCCCGGCAGAAGCTGCTGGAACTGAGGCCACCGAAGGGTCCCAGCCCAAACTGAGGGAATGTTAAAAAGGGCTTAGACGAAGTCCCCGGGCTGACTAATATCTAAAACACGTCGTGTGCTGAAGGGCACCTGGTCAATGAACCCGAAGAAAACAATGATGAAGTCCCTCGCAGGAGGGAGAGGGCCCCCGTCGACCCAGTCGAGGTGATCAACGTAGATGAGCCTCTGCCGGGCCCATCATTTTCTCCTGGAAAATATGGGATGCCCAAGATATGAAAACTCTCATCATGGGGGCATCCCCCGAAGAGAATAGTATGTTTGAAGGATATCTTGCCGGGGTTGAGGAAGGTCCGGATATCGATGCCTCTTTGATCTATGAATAAGTCGAGAAGCTTCGACAACAAGTGATCTTGATTTGACCGTTGTATTTTCAGTTTTGATTCTTGCTTTTCTGACTCCCTTCTTCTGTGTTTTCTGGCCTTCAATCTCTCCAACCAAGCCTTTTCCAAGTTACAAGCAGAGTTGGCTCGTTGTGAGTACGAATTTAGGAAGCTCGTTTCTGAATTGGATGAACTCAAGGCTCTTCATGCCCAAAATGAGGGGGAGCTAGGTGACCTTCGAGCTCATTTAGAGAGGATATCTCGAGAGTGGGACGATCTTGATGAGCAAGTAATACAACCTTCGTGGGTTTATTTTTGTGCTTCAGTCAATTGAGCATTTGATACCTTAATTTGAATTTTTCAGCTCAAACAAAAAAATGATCTAATGCGGGAGGAGCTTAGAGTCAGAGATACCGAAATCCTTGGGCTAAAACAGCAGGTCGTTACATTATCCACTTCTTAAACAAATGTTCGTCCTTGAACGGACATAGAAAAGTACCTGAGCTGCTAAATAAATGTGGATATCTGCTCTGTATGTCCTCCTCGGACTCCCAAATCACCTCCTCAACTGGTTGGCCCCTCCACTGGACCTTTACCGCAGAAATCCTCTTGGATCTCAACTGGCGATCCTGTCTATCAATGATGGCAACTGGCTCCTCCTCATAACCCAGGCTCTCGTCCAGCTGAATAGTACTGACGTCCAACATATGGGAGAAGTCGGCATGATACTTCCGAAGCATCGATACATGAAAAACTGGATGAACTCCTGATAAGCTGGGGGGTAAGGCAAGCTCATAGGCAACCTCCCCAACTCTCTTCATCACCTCAAAGGGATCGATAAACCTTGGGCTCAACTTGCCCTTCTTCCCGAACCTCATAATACCTTTCATTGGAGAGACTTTCAAGAGAACCTTCTCGCCAACCATAGATGATACATCACGCGCCTTCTGATCCGCGTAACTCTTCTGTCTGGACTGAGCTGTGCGAAGCCTCTCCTGAATGAACTTCACCTTATCCAAGGCATCCTGTACAAAGTCTGTACCATACAACTTGGCCTCACCAGGCTCGAACCACCCGATAGGATAATGACAATAGCGACCATATAAAGCCTCGTATGGAGCCATCTCAATGCTGGACTGATAGCTGTTGTTATATGCAAACTCCGCCAAGGGCAAGAACTGATCCCACTGCCCTCCAAAGTCAAACACATGCTCTAAGCATATCCTCCAAAGTCGCCACTTTGGATAATTTTATGGTGTCCCAAGTTACCGGTTCAAATCCCAAATCTAGGAAAGATTGACTCTATTTACAGTTCGCGAACACATAAATCCGGGTAAGGAATTCTGTTAACCCGGGAGAAGGTGTTAGACATTCCCGAGTTCCGTGGTTTTAGCACAGTCGTTCAACTGTTATTATTGGCCTAATTATCTGATTTTAAAACACTTTTAAACCTATGTGCATTTTTAACTTTAAAACCGCTTTTATTTATTTAAGGACTTATTTCAAGGTTATTTAAAACACATCACAAGCCACGCTACATGAAATGCACCCGTGGTTCACGACACGATCTATTTAACCTCATTGGAAATTAGAAGTTGGGTCACATGAAATGCACATCCGGGTTTGCAACATGTTTATTTTTATTATTATTGTTCCAAATTATGGTAGGGTCACATGAAATGCATACCCGAGCCCCTTTAATTTAATTTGACGTAGTTCAGGTAAAGAATAGCAACCTAATTTCTATACTGCGTCAAAATCATGTTCAGCTATAACCAATTAGAGTAACCTATGAGCAGACAACTAAGTGAATAAATTCAAAACCGCGGAGAACAACTACACAAACAACGGGAATTTTTTTATAACTGCAGCTCCTTAACTATGTTCAATCCACCATCATTGTGCGTTTTTCACAATTTTTTCATATATATCCTTTACAAGCTAATAATCAATAATATCATTATTATCCAATCATCATTCGATATTCATGTTTTCATAAAGCAAAAACCGAATCCAGATCAAAAAACTCCATTTGCAAAACAATTACAGAAACTAATTAACGAAATTTACATTATAATTCGATAGTAAAGAGATCATTAACATAGTATAGGAATAGTAAAAAACAAGAATTACTTGGGCAAAGCAGATCTGAAGATCGATCTTCTTCCTCGCCGTATGACCTCGACGCACCGAACCTCTACGAACTCAACACTTCAATATCTGGCGCTGAACAGATCTTGCAAACGAGTTCCAAGATGGATTCAACTGTTTTCAGCGTGTGCGTGTGTGTGAAGTTCCGTTCAGTTGTGGGAGATGGGGTCGTTTGGCGTGAAGTGAAGGAGAAAGGTCATGGGTGTGCTAAGTCTTAGCCGCTCCTATTTTCCTTAGGCTATTAGGGTTTTATCTTGTATCCTAATGAAGAAGAAGCTGGGGAGGGGTCTCGCTTGGTTTTTGCGGCTGACCTCTCTTTGGTTTTGTCTCCTACGTGTATGGCTGCTCAAGATTTTCTTAAGGGCTGCTGGTTTTTATTTCTAATGAAGAAGAAGACCTTTTAGGGTGTAATGGCTGATTCTCCAGCTTTTTTAGCCTTTTGCGTAGGTCTCTGTATTTTTTGTAGTTTTCAACTCCTTAGTCTTTTGGTTTTCGACTAATTTTGTCGAGTGTATCTGTATATTTTGTGATTTAGGTTTAGTCAAATCTCCATGGAAACGGCGGATTGGATTTTAGGTCTTCTCCCTCAATTTAGGGATTAGGTACTATTATATAGGGGTAGGGATTAGGTTAGGGGTTTGTGCCTAGGAATTATGGGCTTGGGAATTATGGTCTAGGTCCAAAATTAGGCTTAAAAATGGGTTGCTTGAGCCCAAGTTTCATTCTTTCCCTGCGAATCAGATTAAAATACGACCTCATTTATTAATTAGTTCTACTTAAATAAAATAACTATTAAAATAAGACTGACCGTTAAAACAAAACTATTTTGGTATTTTTCAAGATTAAAAATGATTACTAAACATTAATGAAATTATTTTTTGTAATTTTTATTTTTTTGGAATAAAATAAAGTAAAAGAGTCAAAATTAGTTGAAATAGCAATATTAGGCCTAAATTAAATATTTACATGCTAAAATGTAAAAACTCTTGGGGAGGGTCAAAAATCACATGTCTACAGCTGCCCCTCTTTGACTGGAAACACGAAGTATTTTCAGACAAAGAACGACTAGACAGGTGTTTTGACCCGACCCTTATTTAAAGAGACCAAAAGCTAACAGAAAGGAGAATGTGACCGAGCCCTGGTATCTGAGCTGCCTACATATCCTTGGCTATAAAGGAATCAGACCATGTATAGTTCAAAAGTGAGTGAGATGATGGAGTATACCGAGGTGGAGAGCCGATCGAGGTGGCGTTCCGTCAAGGTTCCGGTCCGTGGTCCTGTTATTACATCAAAATCATAAGAAATGAAAAAAACTAACTAAGCCTGTCAACTACGAGTTACAAGATTCCTATCTATAAGTCTTCTGAAGCTTGATCTTGAGTTCTGAGTGGTTCTTCATGCAGACTTTAGATTTGAACCTTGACGCTTGCTAGTTGCAGGTGCTAGTTCATCCTTCTTCAGCTTTTCGGATCAAGACCAGGTATGCAGTGTTTGTGACCTCGGCCATGTCTTAAGCAGCCCACATCTTTTATCAACTACATTTGGATTAACTTCTTGCCTTTCTCTTTTTTTTCTTTATTGTGACTAACTTCTGTTGATCACCTCGGACTGTTGACTCGCATTCTTGTCGCAAGTTTCTTTTGTTGCTGACTTGAATTGCATTCTGAAGTGAATTCCCTTATTCTTCAGGCGAGCGCCTGATTGCCAATACTCAACCTGTCATCCTTCGAAACTTGCTGCTTTCCCTTTGTTCTCCAGGTGAGCTCCTGATTATTGTCTTCCATTGAACATTGCTGCTTCCCTTTGTTCTCTAGGTGGTCTCCTGATTACCAACACTTGCGCTGTTTTTCCTCAAAACTTGAACTGCTTCCCTTCGTTCTCCGGGTGGGCTCCTGATTGCTGAACTCCTTTGAACCTTGCTGCTTTCCCTTCATTTTTCGGGTGGGCTCCTGATTGCTGAACTCCTTTGAATGTTGCTGCTTTCCTTTGTTCTCCAGGTGGGCTCCTGATTGCTGAACTCCTTTGAATGTTGCTGCTTTCCTTTGTTCTCCAGGTGGGCTCCTGATTGCTGAACTCCTTTGAACGTTGCTACTTTCCCTTTGCTCTCCAGGTGGGCACTTGATTACCAACATTTGAATTGTATTCCTTTCCTCTGAAACTTGAATTGTTTTCCCTTGAAACTTGAACTGTCTTCCCTTATTCTCCAGGTGGTCTCCTGATTGCTGAAACTTTCTGTATTCCTTTGTTTTCCATGTGGGTGCCTGCAATCAAAACAAACAAAACAAACAAAATTTTCTGCTCCAATTTGCACTAGGAAGATTTGTGAGTTGGTAGCAAAATTGTAAAACACTTATACTATTGATGCAATGATGAGAGTAAACTAAAGTCTAGACTAGGATGTGCGTCTCCTATGAGTAAAACTAAAAAACTTTGACTAGCAAATGCGTCTGCTAAAAATAAAACCTGAATGAACCAAACTGAGAAGTGCGGCTCCTAGGGGTGAAACTTGAATGAACCAAACTAGGAAGTGCGTCTCCTACAGGTGTATTCTGAAAGACCCAGACTAAAAAGTGCGTCTCCTCGGGGTGAAATTTCAATGATTCAAACTAGGAAGTGCGTCTCCTATGAATGAACTCTCAATTTAGGAGGCACATCTCCTAAAAGAATAACTTGAAAGACCTTGATTAGGAAGTGTGTATCCTACAGGTAAAACTTAAATAAACCAGAATAGGAAGTGCGTCTCCTACAGGTGTATTCTGAAAGACCCAGACTAAAAAGTGCGTCTCCTCGGGGTGAAATTTCAATGATTCAAACTAGGAAGTGCATCTCCTATGAATGAACTATCAATTTAGGAAGTGCGTCTCCTAAAGGTGTAACTTCAATGACTCAAACTAGGAAGTGCGTCTCCTATGAATGAACTCTCAATTTAGGAAGTGCATCTCCTATGGGTGAAAATTCGATGACTCAAACTAGGAAGTGCGTCTCCTATGAATAAACTCTTAATTTAGGAAGTGTGTCTCCTAAAACAAAATATAACTTGAAAGACCCAGACTAGAAAGTGAGTATCCTAGGGGTGAAACATCAATAACTCAAACTAGGAAGTGCGTCTCCTATGAATGAACTCTCAATTTAAGAAGTGTGTCTCCTATGACCAAACTTAAATGACTCAAACTAGGAAGTGAGTCTCCTATGAATGAACTCTCAATTTAGGAAGTGCGTCTTCTAAACAAAATATAACTTGAAAGACCCAGACTAGAAAGGGCGTCTCCTGGAGGTGAAACATCAATGACTCAAACTAGGAAGTGCGTCACCTATGAATGAACTCTCAATTTAGGACGTGCATCTCCTAAAGGTGTAACTTCAATGACTCAAACTGGAAGTGCGTCATGAACTCTCAATTTAGGAAGTGCATCTCCTACAACAAAATATAACTTGAAAACCCCGACTAGGCAGTGTTTCTCCTAGGGGTGATGTGTTATCTTCTCAATAGCCTTTGCGTAAGCAGAATTGGGGCATTACACCTGAAAATTTCAAGCTTCCAAGCTTTGATATGAACATAGCTTCCGTCCCTATTTTATACAAAGAAAACTTGTGAGTTTAAACATGGTGGTCGGTTTGTGGCCTTGACTTTGCGGTGATTGCTCCTTCACTTACCATGATAACTTTGTTTTCACCTTGAAAGACATTGCTTGCTTATTGACTAACCAATTTCTCTGTCACCCTTATCACAGAAAATACCTCTTCTCCGTTCAGACCCAATAACCTCTATCTGTTGCATTGCTCATGAACTGACATTTACCAAACCTTTGTGTTTTACATGAATCCCAAAGCACGTCAATTTCCACCCACTCAGTGCGTATGTTGGTTTTTTTGACTTAAACCACTGGCCTTAGCCTTGAGGTCTATTGCTCATTCACTTGCCATGATAACTTTGATTTCCGCTTGGAAGACCTTGCTTGTCATTGGTTAACCACTTTCTCTATCAACCTCATCACAGAGAATACCTTTGATCCGTGCACCCAACATCCTCTATCTGTTGCATTGTTCATAAATTGATATATACCAAACCTTTGTATTTCACATGAATCCCAAAACATGTTGATTGTTACCAACTCAGTGCGAATGCTGGTTTTTCTTGACTTAAACCACTGGCCTTGGCCTTGAGGTCTATTGCTCCTTCACTTTCCATGATAACTTTGATTTCTGCTTGGAGGACCTTACTTGTCATTAGTTAACCACTTTCTCTGTCAACCTCATCACAGAGAATACCTTTGATCCGTTCACCCAACATCCTCTATCTATTGCATTGTTCATGAATTGATATATACCAAACCTTTGTATTTTACATGAATCCCAAAACAAGTTATTTTTTACCAACTCAGTGCGCACGTTGTTCTTTCCTGACTTATGCCACTTTGATGTGCTAGCCAGATCCCGTTTTGTGCAATTGGAAAGCTGGTGGCAAATTTTGAAGTTATTTCTCACTTGTTCTGACCAAACAGACTCAGGAAAAGGAAGTAAATAAGACAAAAGGAACAACGTAAAGGATAATGGAAAGAGATGATTCCTAACAAGAAAACTACAAAGTAGAAACCTATCAGATGTGGATCCCAACTCTAATGACCATGACATGCACCTGTGGCCTATTCTGTCAAGCAAGTCTGATGTTCAACTCTTGTTATGCCCCTAAACCGTGAAACTGGGCTTCAATTCTCCGATTATCTAATCTGATTCACGATCCTTATTCGACTTGTAGTGCCCGAAAGGTTTTCACTATCAAGCCTCTCTCATTTTGTTCTTTCTCTCAACTCACCGTCGCCTTATGGTGCCTGTGAAGGTTTTCACCAATAAGACTCTCTCATTTTGTTCTTCTCTTTATTCAGAACGGAGTGTTGCCCCTGATATGAATCACTTCTACTTGCTCGCCTTGGCATCTCTCGAAGACTGGTTGAAAGGTCTTTCTTTGGACCGTAATGTGGGCTTTTGGATAGGGTTAGAAATAAAGGGTATCACGAAGGCTCAAAACAACTTGAATGGGTTCAAACTTACAACCTTTGGAATCAGATCTTTTACATAACCACAACTTCTGCCCCTGTTTCTTTGCCTGGGGGCTTTTGGATTTTTATTTTGATGGGACCGAACTGTGAGGCTGCCTACGTATCCTTAAAAAGAATCAGGTCGAACGTAGTTCATGACATAAGAATTGCTTTGTTTTTTTGTGCTTTTCTCTTCTTCTTATTTTCTTTTTCTCTTTTTTTTCTTTTCTTTTCTTTTCTTTACCCTTTTCCCATTTTTCTTTCTCTTTTTCTCTTCTCTTTTCCTCTTTTTTTTGTTTTTTTTGTTTCTGTATTTCTAAACTCTGCTTTTGATTCCAAAAGAGGGATATGAAAGAAAATAAATAAGGCTCAAAGGGGTAACAAAGGATAAAGTGTTTAGATAGCAGAATAAAATGCCTTCGTCATTCCAATCTTCAAAGCATGCCAGATACAAACAATATAATTA